TGAGGGTGGGCTGTCGCGAGAGAGATGATGCTATGCTTAGCGCTAAGCCGTCGATGGAAGGGCGCTGCCGGTGGACGGGCTATATCGGTGTGTCTCTAGGTATGTAAAGTCAGGTATGTAAAGTTCAGTTTTTAAATAAATAAATAAATAAATAAATAAAACGGACATCCCAAGCTAGGGCTGGGTCGAGGACAGACACGTCCCCACCTTTGCAGGATTTTGCAAAAGCGAGGGGGGAGGGCGCATCGCGGCGCGGAGAGGGCTGGGCACGGGCACTGCCACAGGGGATCTCTCTCGCATAGGATACGCACTCGGCGGCACGAGGGCAAGGCTGGGCGTCCTATTTGTGCTCCCCTCCGTATCCCTCGCTCTCGGGCACTATTCATCTGACCACTCATCAGAGGGGCTTCTAGGCGATCGGCCGCGCTCCGGGGCAGGGCTGGGTAGGATGGGCTCGGGCCACTCGCCTGTGCGGGTGTATCCCCGCATGAGCCGGATGGAGGCCTCGACTGTCCCTCGCGGCAGGCTCTCGAGCAGCTTTTTAAATTCTTTTTCAGGCTTGCGCGCGAAGAATTCTTTTTCAGGCTTGCCAGTGGCGCTCTGTGGCGCTCTGAACATGAGCCCACTCTACCGGCTGCTCCTGCTCACGTTCCCGCTTGCCGGCCAAGCCGAGGTGTCCTGCTTGACCGCCGAGCAGTGTCAGAAGGGCCCCGAGGGCGGCTCTCCGGAGCACGGATCAAGCATCTGCGAGGAGCTCATGCAGAACAAAATGTGCGCGAAGCCCGAGAGCGGCGGGCTTTGCTGCTCGGATGCGTCGATGGCGGAGGCGCAGGAGGCGGCGCGCCTCGCCGACGACGGCGCTCCGGCGGCGGACGCCGACGCGGAGGAGGAGGTGAATGTCCAGGACGCTGCGGAGGAGGGCGCTGCGGAGGAGGCCGAGGCGGCTGCTGGAGGGCAAGGGGAGGAGTGTGCGGGCGGCGGCGCGCGCAGAGGTCGCGCGCCGGCCTCTCGAAGGTTCCTTCTTGAGCCTTGCCTCGCATATTCATAGGCGAATCCCCTCCGGAGGCAGAGTGTCGGCAGTGCAGCTCCAGGGCCCGCCGCATTCTGAACCGCCTCCGCCGCGTCTTCGCGAAGAAGTCGCCTCCGTGCTGCGCCTGAGAGACGGCGCCTGGGCGGCGTGAGGCTGTGGTCTATTGTTGGTGGCAAACCCGGCTGGGGGGCGGCCGCTCCCCTGCTTCCTCCCGAAAGGCGTCGCTGTATAAAGCGAGAGCGAGGGGCGAGCAGCGGCCCAACTCTGGCGGTCCCCATTTCTGTCGAATATAATATTTGCCTGCATTTTTTTAATGCTGGACGACAGCCCAGGTCGTTCCAACTTTTTCCGGGGTAGTATGGTATGGTGAGTATTGTGTGTGAGTGTGTGCTGATCCCACTCGTAAAACCAACTAACTCTCAGGTGGGCAGTGTACCAGTAGGTGTGTGCACGCAGCTGCGCAGTGACCAGTGTGGGGGGGCGAGAGCTTCACGCGCTCATCTATCTCGATCGACAAGGCGTCGCTACGCGCGGTCTTCTGCGGGGGGAGCTTCGTCGACGGGTGCGGGACCGCGGCGCAGCCAGCGTTGCGGCGATGCCTCCGGCTGTTGCGGCGAGTGGTTTGCTGCGGTCGATGCGATGGCGAAAAACTCGCGTCTCGTCGCACACCAACGCAAGTCCAACGGAGCTTACGCTCTGTCGAGACGTGAGGCGCTTGCGCCCGGGAGGGGAGGGTGCATGCGTAACGACGCTGCTAGAGATGCCTTTCGGGGCCGCCCAGAGATAAAACTTCTGATGCCATGCGTGACCTAGTAGTGTCCCCAGCTATGGGCGTGTCCACGTTGGAGCCAGGTGTGGTGTGGACGCGAGAATAGCTCCGCCGTTCATGGAGGCAACCGATGCGAGTATAATGTCGTCGTGGTTTTGTATCAAGAATACTCACTCATGGTACTTCTCGCGGCCCAAAGGGGTCTGAGCCCTGGTCTGACAGCCTGACAGCGCTGACAGCACTTTCTCTGACAGTCTGACAGCACGTATCTGACAGCCTGACAGCAGAGCCTGACAGGCGAGGCGACCCGTCGCTGTCAGGCCCTAAAACGTGACAGCCTGACAGCTGCCTGACAGCCCGACAGCACACAGTGGCCTGACAGCAGCACTGACAGCCCGACAGCAGCACAGACCGTACACAGACCCCATAGGAAGGGGCAACCAGTATGTGGTGTGAAAACCCCTATTTGGTGCGACGGCGCAGAGTGCGCCGAATCGGCGCAGAAATCGGCGCACTTCTGCGCCGGCGCCCGAGCGCATGATCTGCAGCCGGCAGACCGGTCGCACATTCTTGCGCCGTGTGCCGGCGCACTTTGCTGCCGCCGGACTGTCACTGTTGCTGTCACGCCAGTGCGCACTGTTGCGCCGTAAGCCGGCTGCACTTTTTGCACCACATAGGGGTTGCCACCACACTGGTGCGCACTCGCATCTCATGCTCTGCTGCCAGACTGATTGATGCCCCGCTGCCAGCGTGGCAGACACATTGCTCGGACCGCAGTCAGGCTGTGAGTCGGCGCCGCCGCCTCTGCTTGTTTTCCGCGGACCGAAACGCCGCCGACGAGGACACTCGCATGACGAGGACACTCGCCGACGACAGTGGCGCCTGAGGGCGTGGGCTGCACGGCCCTTCGGGGCGGCCCGCGGGGCAACGGGAGGGAGCTCTCCCGCCGTCGTGGCGCACTACATGTTCCGGCCTCTCTACAGTCGCCTTTTGGCATCTCCTCTCGCCGCCGAGTTAGACCCCGCCGCACCGACATCACCGCCAGCGCCCTTCCCAAGCACCTTCCCGGCGGGCAGCGCTCCGTAGCGGCGCTGGCGGCCCCTGCGAGCCGGCCGTCACCGCGAGTGCGTACTCGAAGGCGCGCGCGTCCCCTCCCTCCCCGGCCCGCCGCGTCCCTCTGACCACCCCTCCGCCCTCCCCCTCCCGGGCCAGGCGTGCCTCGGGGGCGTACAAAATGGGCGCGGAGCGCATACCCGGCGACGGTCTCTCTTGTGCCTGAGCGCTGCCCCCCTCTCGGGCGCTGCGAGCTGCGTCATGCGCGTCCCTTCCGCCGCTCGGCCGCGCCCCTGCCCGACTCACCCTCCGACTCGGCCGCAAGACCATAGCACCGGCACTGCTGGCGACACAGGACGACCGCCAAGAGCGCTGCACCAACCCCCCCTGGGGGGGGGGGCAGCGGCCCTCAAGCAGTAGCACGGCTACCGTGTGAAAGTGTGACACCCCAAAACCGTAAATAGCACGACAAAATACGTACTGGCTGGTGGATCACCATGGAGCGATCATGCACATGCGATATGGCATGTTTTGCGAGTATATGGGACACGATGTCTCAAATATGAGGGGTTTTGACTCCTACCGGCTCCTGACGCTATTCCTGGCAGCTCTTATGACCAGGATCAGTAGTGCTATGATACAGGGTGCCCATGCTAGCGCAGGAGCTGCCACACTCGCCCGGACCGTCCCCTTCTGGGCCCGGTTCCGCAGCCCGCGAGAGCCGACAGCGGGGCCGTGCCGCGGGTGCCTACTGCCGAGTGCCACAAACACTGCGCCGTCCCGCCATCACCTACAGGCTGTCTTGTGTGATGGTTGGGATGTCCAAACGCCACCATCTTGGCTCTTGCGACCTCAAACCCGCGAGCTGTATGGGTGGTCCTGACGTCGACAGACGCCCGATGACCACGGTGAAGCTGAGCTGGAACGAGTCGACAAGTCTCGTCTGAGCCCGTGGCGGTCGCCGGCTGGGTCGCTGTGCACGGGCCGGTACCTCAGGCGTCACCTCCGCAGCCTCAGGTCTCACACTCCATCACCTCCGCCGGGACGCCGTCGGTGGCACGCTCGGCGGCGACTTTGTGGCAGCCCCACAGCGAGCGCGGCATCGAGCCTACTCGGTCTGGTCGGTCGGCCGCACTCCCTGGGTGCCAGGGAGTGCGGCCGACACGCGAGCGGTGCTTCCTGGCAGCGCGCGCCGGCTGTGGGGCTGCCACAAACTCGAGACACGCTTTTTTGGGACATTTTCGACGCTTTTGTCCCATATACTCGCAAAACATGCCATATATGCCTTATGCGTCATGGACGATGGACGGCAGAGCTCTCTCGTCTCTCACGGAGACACAGGGACGTACACGCTAGCGTCGTGGTACACCCCTCACTAGACAGCGGTGCCGCGGTGGAGGCACCCGCGGGCCTCTCCGCCCCTTGGGCGGGAGGCGGCGGCTGCTGCGGCGGCGGCGGCTGCTGCGGCGTCGGCGGCGGCGTCGGCGGCGGCGGCGACGGCGGCGGCGGCGGTGGCGGAGGGCTCCAGGAGGGGTGCCCGCGTGGTTGGGTTGGTCGGATGGCTTTTTGCCGCGCAGAGAGGCGCTGCAGATCGGCCAGCGAGAGACTCATGAGCGTCTGGGTTGAGCGTGTGGGGCCCCAAATCTGCGCCGGCGGCGCACATCTGCGCCGGCCGGCGCAGAGTGCGCCGGCGGCGCAGAGTGCGCCGGCGGCGCAAAGTGCGCCGTTTGGCGGCGCAGATCTGCGCCGGCGCCGGCGCAGATCTGCGCCGGCACCGGCGCAGAAGTGCGGCCGGATCCGGCGCAGAAAACGGCGCACTTTTGCCCGCACCACATACGCGTTTTGCATGGTTTTACGCGCCCCACCGCCGGCCCAGACCGCCGCCCGGCCCGCCCGTCCGCCCGCCGCCTACGGTGCCCACCCCGCGCCCCCGGAGCCCGAAAACGGGGCGCCGCGAGCTCGCAACCGAGTTTTCCTCGAAATCACACCACATACTGGTTGCCCCTTCCTAGGCCGTGGGCCTGTGGGCTTGCTTGGGGCGCACCCCACCCCGCCCACGGTGAGGCACCTGGACAAGCCTGACAGAAAGGGGTGGGCCACGCCGTTTCCCGCGTGGCGTGGCAGCGCGGCGCGGCCTCGTGCTGCTCGATGGGGCGGCCACACCCGTACCTTGAGCGCCTGCCATACCTGCCTGGCCAGTGCTGGACGGTGCCATGCCCGTACGGCGGCGGGCGGTGTCTCCCGCGTGCGACGTCCAACCAGCGCTTCGTCATCAATGTTGGGCACCAAACGCTTGAGCTGACGTATCCTTTGCTCGCAGCGAGCATGGCTGCCGGATCGGCGCCGGAATCAATCTGGTGGCAGTTTGATGCGCTGCCCCTCACCCGCGAGCTGCTCGCACTCGCCTTTCCGAGCACGCGGCTTCACTTTGGACCAGCCGACGGCCCGCGAGGCTGCCTCACGACCAAGTCCTTCCGGCCGTCAACGCGAGGGATGGACGTGCATCAAGCGGGCGCGCTGCGCCGCCTCGTCTGGAGCAAGTGCGGCATCGCTTCGCGGCCTCCTTCCGCACCGCTCCGCGTGCGCGTCCTCGACCGGCCTCGCAGCGGAGGAGGGTCAAAGAACCAGTGCCGGCTGCCCGGTCCGCACGCGGGAGGACGCCGCCTCTCCAACGCAACCGTCGCCGCCCTGCGGTCGCAGCTTCCCGTCGCTCTGCTCTCGGCGGGCGTGGCTGACGCTCCCCTCGAGGTGGTCTACCTGCCGGATCGGCCGGACTCGCTCTGCGATCAGGCACGAGACGCCCGTTCCGCCCCTCGCCTCCCGCGCCAACGCGCTGACGGCGCGCCTAGTCCCGCCCCCCAGGCGCGCAGGTTCGGCGAGGCGGATGTGCTCATCTCACCGCACGGCGCCCACCTGGTCCACATCCCGCAACTCTCGCCCGCCGCCGTCTTCGTCGAGGTGACGCCGTGGGCGGCCGCCTGGCTCGGCCCCTTCGCCTCGGTTGCGGCCTCCATTCGCCTGCGCAGGCTGCAGCTCTGCAGCCTGCGGCCGCCAGGCGAGAGGAGCGGGCTCGCCGAGGCGCAGTGCGGCAGAGACCAAAGGCGCGACGTGGGCTGTCTCTACAACGCGATGAACTGCTACGAGCAGGAGGTCGTGTCACGAAATGGCACGTCGCCGTGTGCGAAAGGGCAGGGCCGCTGCCGGTGCATCGGGCCAGCGCTGCGCCAGGCGGTGGCGTGGGCCAAGGAGGCCAGGGTGGCGTTGGGCGCTGCGGGGATTGCTGAGCAGCGCACGAGCGGCCGGCCGCTGCCGCGCCGCTCTGCCCTTGCTCGACCGTGGGTTAGGTCGTCCTGAGCTTTTTTTAGAGATTTTACGTTGAAAGAAAACAAACAAACAACAGCCAACACACGGACTCTCGAAGAAAAGTCCAAGATGGCGGGAGGCGGCTCGCGCCCCCAGCCGTGCACCAGCATGCCTCTCTAGTCCCGCCTGCCACCCAGATACCGAGAGCTGGGCGCACTCTTCGACTTGGGCTATTATCTGGCCTCGGGAGGGCGGCGGCGGCGGCGTAGAGGCGGCGGCGAGCTCCCGGTTGCAAATACTCGCCTCACGGTCCAAGATGGCGGCTCGCGCCCCCGGCCGTGCTCTGGCGTGCCTGTCTAGTCCACCGCCTGCCACCCAGATACCGAGGGCGGGGGGCGCACTCTTCGACTTGGGCTATTATCTGGCCTCGGGAGGGCGGCGGCGGCGGCGTAGAGGCGGCGGCGAGCTCCCGGTGGCAAATACTCGCCTCACAGTCCAAGATGGCGGCTCGCGCCCCCGGCCGTGCTCTGGCGTGCCTCTCTAGTCCTGCCTGCCACCCAGATACCGAGGGCGGGGCGCACTCTTCGACTTGGGCTATTATCTGGCCTCGGGAGGGCGGCGGCGGCGGCATAGGGGCGGCGGCGAGCTCCCGGTTGCAAATACTCGCCTCACCACACGGTCCAAGATGGCGGCTCACACGCCCAACCATGCTCTGGTGCGTCGATTGGGTCGCGTCTGCTCACTGCTGCCCGTGTCTCTGTCTTATCGGCGCGACGACAACAAGCTACCCCTAACCCTGTAACCCTAACCCTAACCCTAACAACCCTAACCCTAACCCTAACCCTAACCCTAACCCGAAGAACTCGGAGCATTCACCGAGAGCTCGCGTCAACGGACCGCTGCCTGGTTCCTCCATTCCGACCCGAAGCGGCCCGTTCTTAGGAGCTGCACAACGGCTTGAACTCTCTGACCCTAACCCTAACCCTAACCCTAACCCTAACCCTAACCCTAACCCTAACCCTAACCCTAACCCTAGCCGAGGCGCGCGCGCGAGGCTGGGTGCTTTGCTACCTTGCTTGTGTCTCCCGTGGCCGGAGGGTTGGTTGGGTGGTGGGGATGGGTCGGTCGGTGTGGGTGGGTTTCCTCGCCTCACTCATCAGCCGGGTGGGCCGTGCGTGAGGTGGGTGGGGGTGGGTGGGTGGTGCCAAGCCTCAGCCGGGCCGTGAGGTCGGTGGGGTGGGTGGGTGGCTCCAAGCCCCAGCCGGGCCGTGAGGTCGATGGGCCGGATTTCGCTTGACTTGGTCGGTTTGAGAACTTTAGTGCGGGAGGGTCGGCGAGCACTCACTCACTAGGGCGGCGCCGCAGGGCCGGCCGGGCGCCCAGGGAGTTTGGCTCCCAGATTGCTCGGCTTGCGAAAATTTTGAAGAAATTTGCGGCCGGGCCTGATTTTCAACAATATCTTTCAAATTTGCGGTGTGGAGTTGGGGGGTGGGTTAGGTTAGGGTTATTAGGGTTAGAGGGTTTGGGTTAGGGTTAGGGTTAGGGTCAGGGTTAGTCTTGTTGTGTCTGTATATGCCAGCGTTGCAGGGGTCTGCGCTGGGATCTGGCCCCACAGCGCCGACGACTGAGACTCAGCCCCGCACGCTGACGTAGGGTTAGGGTTAGGGTTAGGGTTAGGGTTAGGGTTAGGGTTAGTCTTCTTGTGTTTGTATGCCAGTGTTGCAGAGTTCTGCGCTGGGATCTGGCCCCAGCGCCGACGAGTAAGACTCAGCACCGCACGCTGACCCCACCAAATGCCGCCTCAGGGCGCCAGGCCGCCAGCCACCTCTTACACGCGGCCGGCGCCCTCTCGCGGCAAAAGCCAAAAGGGTCGAGCGAGCGGGCAGAGTCGCGATGTCCCTGCGCACCTGGGTGTTCGCCGCCTATATGCTCTATCCTGTGCCACGACGGACACGTTTTGACAATCAAAATCTACCTCAAAATTTGCGGCCGCCCCTCGAAATTTGCTGATCAAAATTTGCGGTGGCCCGGATCGAAACCTGTACTTTGGCCAACTGCCAAAAAGCACCTTTGGCGGCTATTGCTCAAAACCCTGGGAGAGAAGGCCTACATAGTATTACTGCATCCATGCGTCTGGTGCATGAGGGCTGTGGGTCGGGACATTTCACGGTCGGTGGCGCCGATATTGACCTCCGGAAAGCCCTCGCAATCGCTCGGCACGGGGTCACCGGCCACCGGGAGTGCTCTCGAGCCCTACACCGGAGCATCACGAGCCGGTGCGAGCTTGAAGACCCGAGATAAGTGCGGTCTGGGACAGCTCAGGGTTGCTACTGATGGGCTAGGCCAGGAGAGCGACAGAGAAGGCGAGGTGGTGAGCTGGTAATCCATCGCAAGCGACCCGGAGCGCGCAACCGCGCATCTCGCCGCCGCGGGGCTCCGACTGGTTATCTAGACCTTCCTTCTTCCTCCCTGTTCCTTCCTTTCCCCTTCCCATCTCTTCCCGGCCTCCCGGCCGGCGCCTGCGGCGCCGTTCTTTTTTTTCCTTTTCTTAAAGAAAGAAAGAAAGAAAACAGACAACCCAAGGGAGGGATGGGAGGACGGCACGCCGCCACCACACAGGGATTTTAAGGAGAGGTGTGTGGTGCGCTAGCCGTCGCCCACCCTAGGGAGTCTGCCTCTTCCTATCTCTCTTCGCAGTCTCTCGCCGCTTCTCGCTGCATTCCTTTTCTTGCCACCATAGCTGCCTTGATTCCTTCGGACCACTAAACCGCTCTACCTATCCCATCCATTACCGTGCCCCATGTTTCAAGTGCGGTCGTTTTACCAGGCGCCCAACCGACGGCCGCGCCGCGATTTTTTTTTGCCTGCCCCGTCTTCGCCGTCGCGCGACGACCACGCCGGTGTCAAAACTTCGCCTTTTCTTTTTTCCGCCCTTCTCTTTTATACCTGGTAAAACGCATGCCAAATTCTTTGTTCACGATGGTGCCCGCCTCGACGCCCTCTGCGCCGCCGCCAAGCGGCGCCGCGCCGCCTCCCGGCTCCGAGACTTTGGACCTTGGTCGCTGGCAGGTCGTCATCGCCGATGGGCACGCGGTGCTGCCCGAAGGCATGACGCACTTGCCGGACGGGGCGTTTCGCGGCCGCACCTCTCTCGTCTCGGTCGCCTTCCCGCGCAGCCTCGCCTCCATCGGCAGCGGCGCCTTCGAGGGCTGCTCCTCGCTCGTCTCCATCGACCTCCCCGCCAGCCTCGTCTCCATCGGCAACCAGGCCTTTTACAGCTGTTCCTCCTTCATCTCCATAGACCTCCCTGCCAGCCTCACCTCCATCAGCGACTTCGCCTTCCGCGACTGCTCCGCCCTCTCCTCCGTCACCTTCCCCGCCACCCTCACCTCCATCGGCCGCAACGCCTTCGAGGGCTGCTCCGCCCTCGTCTCCGCCGCCTTCCCCGCCGGCCTCACCTCCATCGGCATCTGCGCCTTCGCCTTCTGCTCCTCCCTCGTCTCCGTCACCCTCCCCGCCGGCCTCACCTCCATCGGCATGTACGCCTTCAACAGCTGCGAGGCCCTCTCCTCCGTCACCTTCCCCGCCGGCCTTACATCCATCGACCACGGCGCCTTATACGGCTGCTCCGCCCTCTCCTCCGTCACCTTCCCCGCTGGCCTCACCTCCATCGGCAACAGCGCCTTCAACGGCTGCGAGGCCCTCGGCTCCGTCACCTTCCCCGCCGGCCTCACCTCCATCGGCATCTTCGCCTTCTCCCGCTGCTCCGCCCTCTCCTCCGTCACCTTCACCGCCAGCCTCACCTCCATCGGCGGCTACGCCTTCTGCGGCTGCTCCTCCCTGACCCGCGTCACCGTGCCAGACACCGCCACGATCGGCGACGAGGCTTTCGAACCTGAGACCACCGTCCTCCGCCTCCCTCCCAAGAGAATGCGCGACCTGCAGCGCTGGTACGAGGCGGTGGCTTTTGTTCTGGCCTACAAACGCTGCCGCCCCCTCCTCTACGGCTGGCTAGAGCGGGCCCAGACCAGGCTCGGCTCTTACGGCCCGGACGGCGCGGCGCGCCAGCGCGACCTCGAGGAGTTCGAGGGCGATTTTGGGCTGCTTGTAGAGTGACAGGCGTGATTGAAACCGCCGGCGCTGCGGCTGGAGCTCCTCCTCCTGTTAGTCCTGAGGAGGAGCGTGTACGAGACCCGCCAGCTGCTGCTTCCTTCAGCCAGACGGCCGGGCCTGCGCAGCACGACCGCTCCATGCAGACAGCAGACTGACATCCCTGCGGCGAGGCTTGTTGCGGGCGCGCGCAGCCAGAGGGCGGCGCGGGGAGTGGCGGCGTGCGCGTGGTCCCGAGGCGGAGGCGGTGTGCTGCAGGCGAGCGGGAGAAGCTGCTGCAGATGGAGGCGACGCTCGCGCGGTCCGTCATCGGGCAGGACGAGGCGCTCGCCGTCGTGTCGAACGCGGTGCGAGTCTCGCGCGCGGGGCTGCAGTCGTCCGAGCGCCCGCTCGGCGCGCCCCTGCTGGTGTGGCCGACCGGCTCGCTCTGCCTGCCGCGAGCCCTCCCGGAGCCTTGCCTGCGCAGGCACCTTCATGCTGGTCGGGCCGACCGGCGTGGGCAAGACGCGCCTCTGCAAGGTTCCTCTTCGACTCGGCCGACGCGGTCACGCGGCTCGACATGTCCGAGTTCAGCGAGAAGCACGCCGTCTCTCGCCTCGTCGGCGCGCCGCCCGGCTACGTCGGGTACGACGAGGGCGGCCAGCTGACCGAGGCGGTGCGGCGGCGGCCGTACTCGGTGCTGCTCCTCGACGAGTTCGAGAAGGCGCACCGCGAGGTTGCGACGCTGCTGCTGCAGGTCCTCGACGAGGGCCGCCTCACCGACTCGCAGGGCAGACGGTCGACTTCCGCAACACGATCATCATCATGACGTCCAATTTGGGCGCAGAGGCAGCTCGCGTCGCTGCCGGAGGGGGCCGCCTCCTCCAAGGCGCGGCCCGAAGTGCTCAAGGCGATCGCGGACGCCTTCCCGCCCGGGTTCGTCAACCGGCTCGACGAGATTGTGGGCCCCGTAGCCGAGATTGTGAGCCCCGTAGCCGAGGTTGTGGGCCCCGTAGCCGAGACGCGGCGCGAGGGGGGGCCGAGAGGGTTCGCCGTCGAGTTCCGGCTTCGCCCCCCCTCCCCCCCTCCCCCCGGCGGCCTGCTCACCGGCGGCGCCGCGAGCAGGTCCTCTTCGAGCGGCTCACCCGCGAGCGCATCGCCGCCATCTGCGCTGTCGAGGTGCAGCTGCGGGAGCGCCTCTCTGCGCGCGGTGTCCGCCTGCGCCTCTCCCCGGACGCCCTGCTCCGGCTGGCGGAGGCCGGGTACGACCCGGCGTACGGCGCGCGGCCGGTGCGGCGCGCCATCCGCCACCACCTGCTCGACCCGCTCTCCCGGCTGCTGATCGGAGACCAGGAGGCGCAGGACGGCGCGACCGTCCTCGTCGACACGAAGGACACCGGCGCGGGCGCGGGCGGCGGCGCGGCGCAGCCCTCCATCGTGCCGCCGCTGCCGGGCGTGCCTTTCGCCACGGGGCTGTTTGGCGCCGGCGGCGCCGCCGCGGCGGTGCCGCCGAGCGACATGGCCGCCGCTGTGCGCATCCGATTGCTGGCTCCGGGTGCGCCGCTTCCGCCAGAGGACACGGGGGTCGACTGGGACGAGGGGCCGGAGTCGGCAGCGTAGCCGTAGGTGTGCCTGATACTTTATGTGTTTCAACTAAAAACATCAAAAAGGCAAAACATCCAACTGCAACTAAATCTTCATACAAACGTCGGCATGACCCGGATCTCGTAATACACCACCTTTGGCTTATTCGGCTTGCCCTCCACAGACTCCTCCTTGTACTCGCGCAGCTGGTTGGCAAGCTCCTCCGTGGAGCTCGCCTTGGCTCTGGATGGCCCCGGCTTTCCGCCGCTGCCGGACGGGGCGCCCGCTAGCACCGCTTCGGTCGAGAAACGCGAGTTGGTCTTTTGCTTTGTGGCCTTCCATGCCGCCTTTTTGTCTTCTGCTGTCACTGCAGGCGAGTCCTTCTGCTCGAGAACCTGCAGCATGGTGCACGGCGGGAAGAGCACCTCCTCCTCGCCGGCAAACTGCGAGAGCAGCGAGATGTCGGCGCCGTGGTGGAAGCCCGTGTCTCCCTCGCATGACGGGCGGAGGCTCCACAGCACGTTCGGGCCATTCTCGTCCATGTACATCAAAGGCGTCGCGCGGTTGCGGGAAGTGGACATGAAGGCGGTGTCCGTGGCACAGACCATGCCGAGCTCGCCCCGCACCCAAAACGAGTATGGCAGCTCGCCGCGCACGCCACGGTAGAGAGGCTTTTCCGCCTCCTCTGGCAGCGTGATGGCGGAGAGCTTGCGGATGGCGCGGCAGAGGTGCGCCACAGTGGCGGTGAAGGTCGCCGCCGGGTGCGTCGCAATGAGCCGGCGGAAGCCGCCGGAATTGTTGCCGATCTCGCGCAGGAAGCGGTTTATGGGCTGGTAGGCTGGGCCAGTGTACAGCCGCACCGCGAGCACCTCCTCGCGCGTCAGGAAGGCGTTGGCCTCGCTCGGCATCGGCGTGTCCGGGCTTATCTGCTTCAGCTTCTCGCGCCGCTCTGCAATGCGCGCGTTCATGCGATCGCAAAACTGCACCACGGACATGCCGCCGTTTTTCTCGTCGCGCGTGCCGCGCGTCTTGTCAGCGGCGGGGACGGCTTCCCCGTTGACGTACTCCCACTCCTCGCGCAGCGTGTACATGACGTCCTTGAAGTCCGTCCAGGAGTAGTCTCGCATAAACTCCTGCTCGAGCGTGAGCAGCGGCCGCTCGATGATGTCGTCGAGGCCCTTGACAAACGCCTTGCGCGACGACGCGTACTGCAAAGAGACGGGCAGCTCCGCCATCTTGCCGCCTCCGGAGCCGCTCGAGCCGCCAAGCCGCTTCGGCGCCCTAAAGGTCGCCGTGACGACGAGAAGGTCGACCTTCGGCCTCGTCACGCCGTCTGGCGCGAGCCAGCTGCCGGCGCGCTTGGTCTCCTTGAGTCGGAACAGCGTGTTGGGCGGGAAGGCCCCCGAAGTCTGCTTCCGGGAAGTCGGCTTCAACGCCCCGCCGCCCTTCGATGCGGTGGGCGCGATCGTCTTCTTGATGACGATTGGTGCGTGGTCGCCGTGGTCGTCGCTCGCCGCCGCCTCGAAGCAGACAATGGGACCGCTGACAGGCTTCAAGCCCCCGTCGTCAAAGACCATGAAGCCCTCCTCGCTAAAGCAGTCGAGGCGGTCGTTTGCCTGAGGTGGGGGATGGAGAGCGCTGAGATGCGGGCTGCGCGGAGATGCTCAGCAGCCCGGGTGTGGGGTGCGGGGCGCGCGCACCATGACCATCACCTCGGAGACGAGCCCTCGGACGCCCGCCTCGTCGGGCGTGCGGATGCTGCTCCACTGCGAGTAGTCCGACGCCAGCCCAAACTTGCCCTCGAGGTTCTTGTACAGCGACGGCGGAAGCGCAAATTTCTTCTGCAGGTCGTACTCAGAGCTGAGAGCCTCGGAGAGGGCGTACGTGGAGCAGACGTAGTCCTTCCGGCCCTCCCGCATCGCGGCTGCCAGCGAGCCCCTCACCGACTGCAGGGCGTAATAGATCTCCGCGTGCTTCGGATCCATGCCGCTATCGACGCTCTCCTTGATCCCGCGAGCAAACTTTTTGAGCACGCTGTCGAGGGACTTGTTTTCCCTCACATACTCCTCGGTGCCCTTGTCCTTGTCCGCCAGGTCGTCAGAACGCAAGTACTCCTCGGTCCGCAGCTTCACCCACTCCTCCCGCCACTTCTCCATGCAATCGTCCGGAGGCGGCCCAACGCAGTCTCGCAGCGAGCGCAAGTAGCCAGTGCGGCTGGTCGGGTTGCCCGGCGGAGTGAGCTCCGCCACTCGCGTGCGCGCTGCGAGGAGCGAACTCCCCGCCGCAAGCACCTGCTCGCGCGCTTCGCAGAGCTGCACGTCGGAGAGGTACTTCCCCAGAGGCCAAGTCAGCTTGGGCCGTGGCGCCGTGCCCTCGGGCGGCGGCGGCGGCGTGTTGGCGAAATAGAGCCGCGCCGAAGGGCGGAAGAGGCCGGGGCGGGTGAGCAGGACGGAGAGGCGGAGCAGGCCGGCCGCGCCGATCGACCAGAGGCGTTCTGGGAACTCTGCCCAGAACCGGTGCTTGCCCCACTTCTCGACGGCCCTGTCCCAGCCGGCGCCCTTCTGCTTCAGCAGCTCGTCGAGCGTCTTGTCCACCAGCGGCGTGAGCTCCTCCACCGAGATCCACCGCTCCGAGAAGCCGAGCTGAGCGATGTCCGCAAAGCCGGATATGGCCAGCACCCCGCCGCGTATCGGCACGTGGGCACGCAAGTGCGGCCAGCTGGCGTCGACCACGCGCTCGAGGCTCTGCCGCGACCGCTCGAGCGACGGCCACTCTCCGGCTGCTGCTGCCGCGTCCGCCTTGAAAGCGTCCTGCACCTCGCCCACGCTGAGCGGCATAGAGACGGGAGACACCCCGCCCTCGGCGGTTGACATGCCGCGGATGCCCACCTGCACCGACGAGCCGCCGCCGGCGAGCAGCTGCACGCCGCCGTCATGCCCCGCGTCCTCAAAGGCCGCATGGAAGAGCGCCTTCGCCGCCGTCCACTCCCACCGCACCTCGTCGAGGCCCTCGACGACGCGGAAGGTGACATTCGGGTGCTCGCATCGGCAGAAGCGCGCGAACTGGTCAACCTTGCGCGCGCCCTCGTCGCTGTCCCGAATCTTGCGCACGCCGCCGGTGGCGCCGATGAAGATGCCCCGCTCCAGGTCGGCGTCGAAGTCGGCGAGCGTATCAGAGAGCAGCTTGAAGAAGAGTTCAAAGGTCTCATCGCCGCCGTCGTTGATGGCGTCGCCCAGTGTCATGAAGCTCTTGTCGTCGCGCCGCAGCTTGGCGCTGTGGAGGATCACCGGCATGCCGTCTGGTCCCTGGTCGTACGCGAAAACCTCGGTGTGCCGCGAGCCGGCGTCGACCACAAAGGCCCTCGGCATCGAGACGCGCGCGGCGAACTTGACGGGAGCGACGCGTCGTGGAGAGGGACGCTCGAAGGAGCGGTGCTTGGAGAGGGAGACCTTGCCGTGGAGGTCTGGCGACGCGTCAGGGACGCTCACGCTTGCGAGAGAGCCGTCGCGGCTTTTGCCATCGAAGGTGACCGATTTGCGCGGCGACGGCGACCTTGGGCCCACCGACGGCTGATGTTTGGAGCTACAGGCACCTCCGAAGCAGCCACCAAAGCAGCCACCGCGCCCGATATCGACCACCTCGACAGGGCTGTCGTGCTTATTTGCACCCGCTCGCTGCGTCGAGTGGTTCACGGCTGGCTCTGCCTGCTGCTCTGTACCTGCATCGGCCTCCTTCCTCTTCCGGAAGAGCTCTGCTCCCGGAAGTATCTCGTGCGCACTTGCCATCAGGCGGTCCTGCTCATCGACAGTCTCTCCCTTCAACCGCAGCGTCAACTCAACCAGTTGCGCGACGCGCTCATCGGAGTGGACGCCAAGCGGCAGCTTGAGTGCAATGTCGCCCGCGTACACTGTCTTGATGCTGGTGCTGGAGCTGAGATCGGCGGCAAGGAGCATGCTGTCCTCCTGGCTAAGGCTCTGGTCGGGCAAGTCAACCTCCCCGGACCGAAACCCGCAGAGCGTTTGCAGAGTCTGGTGCTGCTTGAAGACAGCCACGAGCTGCTGAGCCACCACGAGGGGAATGCTGTTGCCGAGGAGGTTGACCGTGATCAGCGAGCGGCTGGCTGCGAGGCCCTTGGCAATCGCAAGCACGCCAGTGGCGTCGACCAGTTTTAGTTTGGTCACGACAACGTCCTTCCTTGCAACCTCAACCTTCATCGACCGGCCGTCGAGGTCGTTGCCGTTGAGCTCGGTGGCCGCGTCCGCGGCGTGGGCGGAGGCGAACTGGAGGTAGCCGGAGCCCTCGATATTGCCAGAGTCCGCGTGCGTGAGCCACTCGATCTTCGTGATCTCGCCGCACTTGGCAAAAACCTCCTTGATCTGCTCATCGGTGACCGACCACGGGAGGTTGCCCAGGAAGACGCGGCCGCTGACTACTTTTTTCTCAGTGAAGTCCTTCGCCTCAAACACAATCAAATTGCGGTCCTGGTAGACCACCTCGGCCCCGACCTCCTTCGACTCACCCGAGAACAGCATGCCGATGCCCTTGCACAGCTGCTCTGCGCCAGCCGCCACGGCCGCAAGCGCCGCTTCGCGCGTGGCGAAGCGAACGATCGCAGGAGCTATGTGCAGCTCGCAAGTCTCGATCCGCCCAAAGCTGCCAAGCGTCGCGAGGATCGCCTGCTCTTCGATGCCTCTCTTCAAGTCGAAGAGGCAGACGGAGCGCTCACCCTTAGTTGCGTCGACGTAGTCGGTCACCTGGCAAATGCCACTGGAGGAGAGGTCGAGGGTGGTCAGCGTCTGGCTGAGCTTCAGAACGCCGGCGAGCAGGGTTGCAGCCGCCGGGCCAATCGGGTTGGACTTGACGACGAGGGACTGAGCACCCGCAGGCAAATCAAAGGCATCGCACTTGAGGGCTCCCAGCTTGCTCGCGCTGCTGCTGAGGAGCGACGCGCCAATGTTTCGCATGCCCGAATCGGTGATCGAGTTGGAGCTCACGTCGAGGTAGGACAAAGTAGAGTTCACGGCGAGAGCCCTGGCGAATGCGGCGGCGCCGTTGGGGCCAAGCTCATTGCCGCTGAGGTCGAGAGTGGCCAGCATCTTGTTGCACTTGAGCGCCTCGGCGAGAGCAGCGGCGCCCTCGTCGGCGAGCTCGTTGCCGCCGAGGCGTAGGTTAAGCAGCGAACGGTTGAAACGAAGATCGGCGGCGATGAGGATGCCGTCGGCCGGTCTGAGCTCCGACCCTGAGAGATCGGCCTCCGACTGGCCGGGCTGAAACCCGCAGAGCGTTTGCAGAGTCTGGTGCTGCTCGAAGAGGACGGTAAGCTTCTCGGCCGCCGCAGTGCCGATTTTATTCTCAAGCAGATTGACGCCGGCCGCCACATTGCCTTTCAATAGCAACGCGATCACCATGCCCGAGGCGACGCCAAAGCCCCTGTTAGAGAGGTCGAGAATCTCCGCGAGGGTCGGCGCGTCATTGCGGAGCTGCAACAGGTTGAAGTTCGAATCGTCGAGCTTCAAGTCTGTCAGACTCGTCTTAGTCTTGATCGCGAGCGCCTCGCAGATGGCAGCGGCACCGTTAGGACCGATGTCTATGTAGCGCAAGTCGAGGCTGGTCAAGGTGCAGTTGCTCGCCAGCGCCTTGGCGATTGCAACGACACCGGAGTCGCTGATGTCGTTCTCGGAGAGGGTCAGAGTGGCCAACGTCTCATTGGCGGCGAGGGCCTTGGCGATCGAAGTGGCCCCCTCTGTGCTGATCTTGTTGTTGCGGAGGTCAATCACCTCCAGCGACGTGTTGACCTCGAGGGCGTTTGCTATCGCTGAAGCGCCGCGGTCTCCCAGTTCGTTTCCGGAGAGGGACAGGCTGGTCAGGGTCGGGTTGTCCTCAAGCAACGACGCGATCACGATGCCGGAGGCGACGCCGAGGCCCTTGCGGGAAAGGTCGAGGGACGTCACCGGCTCAATGCCACGTAGCTGCGACAGATTGAGCTTGAACCCGTCGAGGCTCAACTCGGATAGCACCGTGTTGATCTTGAGCACCGCGAGCGACTTCAGCGCGCCAGCAATCCGTTCGCCCTCGCGCGGGCCTAGCCGAGCATCTTCTACATCCAACGTCGCCAGCCGTGAAGCTGAGGCAAAGAGCAGCGCCGCTAGCCCGGAGCCGCGTCCCTTGGCCTTCGCGCCCAAGTTTAGCTCCTCCGACTCCAACAAGCGCGGCTCCGCCTCGCACAACGCCTTGAGCTGCTGCGGCCAGTCCTCAACGCAACTCGACGCAAGCACCGCGCTGTCAATCGCGCCGCCGAGCGCGGCATCGTCGTTGTAGAACGTGGCCTCGCGTGACGAAACTGAGTCTAGCCAGGCCTGGAGGAAGCGCGCAACGTCCTCGCGCGTCGTGCCCGTCGACTGAAAGAAGCCGTCCCACCCCTGCTCCACGCTCGTCTGGTTGGTCATCTTGTTGGTCAGCCCAAGCTGAAGCTGCTCGCTCATGTCCTGCACCACCTTACGCCGCTTCGACACGACCTGGTCCAGCGTGAGCGCGAGGAGGTTAAGACTGAGCCGCGCGTCGACGACGAGGGTGCCGCCCTCCACGCGCGTGCCGAGCGCCTCGATGCCGGTGAGCGGCGGCAGCAGCACCTCCTTCTCGTGCGGGTACTGTGACAGCCACGCGATGTCTGCGCCGCGGTCGACCATGCCCATCTGCATCTCGAAGATGGTCGAAGCGGCGCCCTGCGCGTACTGCATAGCCTGCGACTCGGTGGTGGTCGTTGAGGCGAAGGCGAACTCGACGCCGCCGCACGTGCCGAAAGAATTCGGCTCCCAGAAGGACGGCGGGAGCTTGGCGGACGAGAATCCGCGGTACACCTTGGTCGCCTTGGTGAGCTTGCTCAGCTTGATCACGCACGAGTTGATGCCGTGGATGGTCGTCGGGAAGTCGTTGTCGCCGTTGAGATCCTTTTGCTTCTGCTCGAGGCGAGGGTTGCCGCTCTTGGCGCGGAGCACCGCGTTGTAGAGCTCGTAGCATGGCCCCGTGTACAGCCGGCCGGCGACGACCTCCTCCTCGACGAGGGCCGTGTGGCCGTGCGTCTTGAGCTCCTCGTTCTTGGTCTGCATCATCTCGAGCAGCTCCTCGTACGGCACGGGCTTGCGGCACAGCGACGGGCGCTCCTCGCGAAAGCCCTCGCGCTCCGCATAGACGCGAGCCGAGTTGGGCTCCGCGACAAACTCCCACTCGCCGGCCGGCGTGGTGGTCATGCCGTTGGAGGAGGTGAAGGCGACGTGCGACCGGTCGCGCAAGCAGTGCTCCTCCTGCATTCCCTTGAGCAGCGACTTGTTGACCATGCGCGGCGGCCCGATGAGTCCCTCGAGGCCTGCACGCGCACAAGGGCGGGTGGAGCGAGACGAGAGGTACAGGGCACAAGCACATGAGCGCTGCACCTCCGTAGAAGAGATCGACGTTGCCGTAGCTCATCTCAAAGGAAGCCTCCTGCTTGAACTTGTCGTTGAGCTCCGCGCCCGTCGCCGCCTTCTGGCCGCGCAGCTCCTCGAGGGCCTTCCAGATGGGCGTCGCCAGCCCGCCCAACTGCGCTGCCTGCAGCATGCCGTCGAGCCTCTCGCGCGACAGCGAGCACAGGTATGCAAAGGGGTCGTCGCCGGACGGGTCCTGCAGCGCCTCGCCGACGATGTCAAGGAGGTTGAGGGAGCGCAGCCAGCCGAGCACGCTCCAACCCGAGTCGTGCGCCGCACCGCTTCCCTCGAGCCACTCAAAGAGCTCGAGCCGCCGTGCCGCCCGCTCGATGAGACTGCGGTGGCCTCCGTACAGCTCACGCCACGCCTGCGACGCCCTGCCTTGCTCGTCCACGTGCAGCCACTTGACCGCCTGCGCATCGTCGCCCGAGGCGAGACGCAGCTTGTTTCCGAGCTCCTTTGAGCAATGGAAGTGGACGGCAGTCGTCTCGGTCCAGGCGTTGTCGGTGTTTCGCGGGTCGTCGGTGTAGCCGCGGTAGACTTGGCGGCCGCCGGCGAAGAGCTCCTTCATCTGCTTCTCGAAGAGCTCCTTCGCCTCGCCCTCGAGGTTGCCCGCCTCCTCCTTAAACTCGCGCTTGACCGCATCTGAGAGCGACTCCCCCTCGTCCACCATGCCGCCTGGCAGCGCCCACTGCTTGGTGTCGCACCGCTGGATCACAATCACCTGCAGCCGCCCGGCGTCGTCGTACCGTGTGACGATTGGGTCGGCGGCGTGGTTTGGCCCCCACTTGCCGAGCAGCCCGCGGCCGCACAGGCCGGTGCGCCCCATCGGGTTGAGCGGTCGGTCGCCGTCGAAGAGCAGCGCCTTGCCCACCGCCTCAGTCTGTCCATCAAAGGCATACGTCTTGCGGTCGGCCAGCTTGGCGCGGCTGACACGAGGCGGGTCGGCCCACCTGTCGCCGGTGTGCAGCTCGCGGCTATTGGCGAATACGGCATCGTCGGTCCACTCAGTCGGCGAGTAGCCAGCGAAAGGCACCTCCCACCGCACCTCGCCGTCCTCCACCGCCTGCCGCTGCGGGTAGGAGCTGTTCTCCTGGCTTCGCGACTTGACGTGCGGTGACTGCGTTGCGTCGAGCTCTGGTGCTCGCTGCGAATAGGCCTCGGGCGGTGCATCGGCGCGGAGCACAGGAGCCGAAGCGGTGCCAGCCCCGAGCGGATGCGGCGCCGGCTTCGACACGATCTCCTCGGCTCTCTCGCTGCTCTGAAGGCCCTTAGCGTTCGCACTTGAAATGTGTGATGCACTGACTTCGGACTCTATCGCCGCACTCCGCTGTGGCCTAGCTAACTTCGACCCGGAGGAGCCCATGAGAGCGGCGTGAGGAGCCCAAGGAACGCCCGCGACGTCTCATGTTATTGCGGTCGACCAGCCTGCAATTTTTCTTACTTTTTGGACGACCCAGAAGGGGAATCTCGGGTGATCTCGGGTAATATCGAACTCGTGTATTCGGGTTGCCTGCCCCGACACATCATTAGTGATCTCGGGTAGTCTCGGGTAATCGCGGGTTATCTCGGGTTATCTCGGGTAACCTCGGGTCATGTCGGGTCATCTCGGGTCATATTGGATCTCGCGTAGTCGGTACACACACACTCACATACACACACACGTTTGTACCGCGTCCTGTGCCCCCGAGTTCATTTAATAAATTAAACACACACACACACTCACATACACACACACACACACACACACACACACACACACACACACACACACACACGCAAAACAAACAACGCCCACAACCCCGACTTCGCCCTCGACGAGGGAGGTGCGTCCAAGTACCCCACCATCGCCGCAGCCATCGCCACCTACGAGTACGCCCTCTCGGACTGGAAGGAGGTGTGCGAGAAGCGCGCCGCCCGCGACAAAACCAAGTACCACACCGTCCGCGGCGGCTACCTGACTGAGTTCTACCCCAAGAGCGTCCCGCTCCCCGAGCCCGAGTCCCTTCCAGCTACCGACGCGATTCTCAATGGCACTTGCAAATCCACGTACCCGCGGCCGCGGGCGCTCGCTGCCATCAAGAATCACAAGGACTGGTTCGCGCACCAGGAGCTCGTCAAGGCGCGGGACGTGCACGTCAAGAACAACCCGTCCCTCGGAGACAGCGCCGTCAACAACCGCGAAGCCTCGCGCTTCGTCTCCGCCTCAACGCCTTTCGCCGGCAAAGCCCTCGATGTCCGTGTCGACGGCACGTACGCCACCGCCCTCTCCTCCGACGCCCTCCAGGACGAGCTCCAGCGGAAGCTCGGCCTTTGGCTCTCCGTGGCGCTTCCCACCCTTCGGGTCGCGCTCGAGCGGGGCATGCCAGTCGATTTCTTTGGCGACTACCTTTACAACAAGGCCCACCACCGGCGGCCCCACGACGGCGTCCTCGCCGCCTGGGCGGACGCGATGCGCGCCCCGGCCAACGCGCCGGTCGTGCACGGTGACAAGGAGAAACCAGAGCTCACCCGGCAGTACAACGAGGGGTACAAGGTCGACCTCGCGGAACCCCACGCTGGCCCGGGAGGATGCGATGAGGTGAACGGCTCTTCTGTGTGCCGGCACAGAGCTCCGTGCAAGCCTTCCAGCGTGATAGGAACGAGTGTATCGCTTTGACGGATCGACCGTGCTTGTTATCCACATCGATGTGACGCACACAGTGACACTTCAGACGACACACATTCTCCCACCCGCCGGGACGCAAAACGCTCTCGACGAGAGCCACAAGAAGGCGGCCACACAGCAAGCCGCTCGGTCGATCACGTTGCTCGCTCGATGCCGGCGAGCGCATGGCGCACGCCTTGGACGGTGGCGAAGCCAAAAACACCGGCAGTGGCCGTCCGCTGGCGTGAGCGGCGGCGGTCGAGACCTCACCCTTCGCGCCGACGACCCAACCTCACGCGGAACAACCCAACCCTTGCACAACCCTACCCAACACGAAACAACCCAACACAAAGCACGATTCTCAAGTTGCGCCCTCATGGTCTAAACTGGTTCGCTTGGTACCCTCATAATGTGGTCGCTCGCTGGTCCTCTCGGCTCGGCCACGCGTCGGACCAGCTCACACGAGCTCCAGACAGCCACCGGTCGCCACTGCACCAGTACCATACCCCGCAAAAAGTTGGAACCCTGCCCGCATACAACACACACACACACGTGTATATATGCTTCTTGCGGCGCTTCTCGCGTGCCGCGCCTTCACCGCGGCGCTGTCGCCCGCGCGTGCGCCGCTGCTACTCTCGTCGCCGCGTGTTGCGGCGGCGGCCGTGTCGGGTGGCCGCACACTTGCGCCTCGCCTGACGGGCGCAGCTGTGGCCCGCGGCGAGGATGTCGCCGGGAGCCGTCCCCAGATTGTCGCGGAGGAGGACGTCCTCGCCTACGTCGACTCGGTCCTCGCCGCCGACGCCGCCATCAACCACCCGCTCATCCCTGACAAGGTCGAGCGGCGGATGTACGGATTGGTCGTGCGGGTGGTGCTGCGCTCGCTCTCGATCGGGCTAGGCGCGCTGGACGAGAGCGTGCTGCTCGGCCGCGTGCTGCGCGTCCGCCTCGAGCCGAGTGAGCAGAGCCGGTGCCGGTGGCCTCTCCTCTCCACGCCTCTCTCCTCACACAAAAGCACAGCCGCACAAAAGCACAAAAACACACAACCCCGGGCCCAAGATCGCACATGCACAGACAGTCGAGAAGGGAGAGACAGCGTCGACAGCCAGAAGGCAGCACTGGGTCCCAGGAAGGCGAATGCGAAGCCGGCAGTCCGACCTCAGAGAAGAGTTCTCAAATGACACGCCTCCCTCACAGCACACCGGCACGACGAGGGCGCGGACTGGCGCGGACTGGCACACACACCGGTACACCACGAGAGCCGCCTAAGCGACTCCGTTGAGAACGGCAAGGCACTTTGCACACTGCCGCTCCCCCCGCACGCTAGCTCGTTCACCGTCTGCCCCGCCTCCCTTGCCCAGGCCGGTCCGCGACCCCGACCTCGCGCTCGGCAGCTCTGTGCTCGAGGCGAGAGCGAAGTCATGATTGGACGCCATAAACCGGCTATCTTGATGAATGAGGTAGAGAAGTAACTGCGCGCGACGCCGCTATGCTCGAGGCGGTGGCGGCGCAGGCGGCGGCGCGGCAGCCCGTGCTGGACAAGGTGCTCGACCGCGTCCTCGACACTTCCGAGACACTTCCTCGACACTTCCGAGACACTTCCGAGACACTTCCGAGACACTTCCGAGACACTTCCGAGTGCTCAACAAGGTGCTGGACCGCGTCCTCTACGCCAACGTCGTGCGTTTCGCGCTGCGGCTGCTCTCGGACATGCTCCTCTCCACCTCGGTGAGTCTGCTGGGAAGTGTCTCGGAAGTGTCTCGGAAGTGTCTTCTAGGACATGCTCCTCTCCACCTCGGTGAGTCTGCTGGGCCTCACATTGAGGCTGACTGTCCTAGAAGCCGAATGGCGCATTCCTGTCTCCACAACCCGCGCTGAGCCGACACGTGTTCAGCTGTACTCGGCCTGTCTTGCGCTGTAGTTGGTACGCACCCCTCGTACCCACGCGGAGCTCTGAACGCGCTGCACAAGGCCGTACTCCCGCCCTGATGTGTCGGCGTACTCTCAGCGCAGGCTGAGCGTGGAGGGTTCCCTCGACGAGTCGGCCGTGCGTTCTCCGGCAAGCGAGCCGCCCGCGGCGTGGGATGAGGCGAGGGGACGCCTCCGAGACACACCCGAGACACCCCCGAGGCACTTCGGAGACACACTTCAAGGACACTCCCGAGACACTTCCGAGACACTTCCGAGAGACGCCTCCGAGACACTCCCGAGGCACCCCTTGCGTCACTCCCGAGACGCGCCCGAGACGTCGCGACGCTGCCCCATCGTTCCAAGGACGAGGTGGAGAAGACCTTCGGCCCGCTCGTCGACGAGCTGCTACGAGACGACCGGATCAACCTGCGTCTCGTCGCCGACGGCCTCGAGCGCTCCACGTACTTGGGCGTCGTGCGCGCGCTGCTTGGGGTGGGGGCCGCCGTCGCGGGACAGGCGAGGGTGGACGCGTTCGGCCTCGCCGTGAGCGCGTCGCTGCGATGACGGATGAAGATCCAGGCCGCGTGCTTACTGTGCTCGTCGTGAAAAAATACTATATATTTTGGACGCTAAGTACACGGCGTCAAAAAAGTTGTCACCCTTGTCACCCGAGGTCTGCGGCGGCGTGCGCGTGGTCTCAGGTCCGGGGGCGCGTCTTGGGACTCCCGCTCGTGTGACCCGGGTCCCTGCGGATTGCGAGTCTGCGAGGCGCATGCGGCGGATACAGGTCAGCGCCCCCCCCCCCCCACACCCACCCACCCACCACCACTGCCTCTGCAGGACTCCAGCTGGTGGCACAGGGTGTCAGGCCACGGGGCTTCTTCACCACCCCTGCCCCCCCCCCCTCCCCTCCCACACGCGACACGGTACTTTGCGCCCCCGCCGGCCCGAGACGTGCCAAAAGGTGCCGCGGCTTGGCTCAGTAGACCAGCCTAGAAGCTGGAAGTGAGCGGGATGCCGCGCTCCTTGCACACGGCCACCAGCTCTGGCTGCTTCTCATTGTCCACGACCAGCTCCTGCACGCGAGGGGAGGTGCGATGGGCATTGGGCGGGGGAGGGGCGTGTGGCGAGGGGGGGCGTCTCGCGCCTTCAAGCTCGGGGCGGCCCCCTCCTTGAGGGCGGCGGCCAGCGCCTTGCAGCCCTCGTCGCCAATCTTGTTTTGGAAGAGAGCGAGCTCCTCGAGCCGCGGCGCTGCCCCCTCCTTGAGGGCGGCGGCCAGCGCCTTGCAGCCCTCATCGCCAATCTCGTTCTGCAAGAGATACAGCTTCTCGAGCCGCGGCGCTGCCCCGCTCGCGAGGACCTCCGCCAGCTGCGCCGCTTCCGCGTCGCCCCAGCCGAGTTCGATGTAGAACAGCTCGGTCGCCTTGCCAAACTGCTCCTCGAAGGCGCCCTCGTACAGCCCCTTCACCAGCGGCTTGTCGTCCTTGCCGTTGGTGAAGCTCTTCTTCTCCAGCTCCGCCGCGAACGCAGACGGCAGCAGCGGGGGGCGCCGGCCGCCGCTCTTGACGCAGTCGTCTCGGAGGCTGTCGTAGTCGTACTCCACGCCGGCGCGCATCTTGCCGAGGTCGAGCGAGAGGGTCCAGTTCTTGGTCAGGCTCGCCCAGCTGTTCTCGACGAAGCACCAGCCGCGGTCAAAGTACTTGGCCACGTTGGTGCCCTCGGCCTGGTCCTCCGCCTTGTGGCCGTCTGGGAAGGAGGTCAGCCGCAGCACGGTCGTTTTAGGGTGGGAGTAGAGCGTGCCGAGGCAGCCCAGCCCCTGCTTGAAGAGCGCGTTCTCCTCCTCGGTGCGCATGACGTCGTTGGCCGGGTCGGGGTGCTGGTGCAGCGAGCCGAAGTCCCAAAAGACGCCGAGCCGCGATATGTACGGATCGCTGAGCAGAGCCTTGAGCGCCCTTGCGACGCGGGACAGGTTGGCTCCGATCGGGTCGGGGTGGTCCTTGGTCAGCCATGGGTAGGAGAGCGCGGCGATGGGAAGGTGAGCCCCGTGATACTCAAGGTAGGCGAACGCCTCGACGAGGTCGGCGAGGGAGAGAAAGGCCTCTTTGGGCAGCGCCTGGCGATGGGTGAGGACGCCGCCCGCCTCGGCGTGGACGATGATCCAGTGCGCGTCAAGGAGGGCGACGGCGCCGCTCGCGAGGACCGGCTCCAGGTCGCCGCCGCCGAGCCTGCGCCACAGCTCCAGCTTCTTCTCGTACCGCTCCAGCTTCTCCTCGAAGGTCCTCGGACGCACCCACGAGTCGTAGGTCCGGCCCGGCTTGCTTTTTCCGCAGCCCATGGCTGAACCGATTTGCTTTGCAAAAAAGCGCGCCGCCCCAGGGTTCGGACTTTCTGCGGGGTATGGTATGGTTGCCCATACCCCCCCGCATGTTGACAGACCTGCTCGGGTATGGTATGGCTAGTCTTGGGCGGTCAGGACCATACCCTCCCACCCCTTTGGGCCGTGATGGTACCATACCATACCCCGGAAAAAGTTGGAACCCAGGATAGGGTCCCCTGCACGAGCGGGATCTTTAGGGGAACGGTGGAGGTGAGAGAGGCAGAGAGAGCCCTCTGAGCGGAACGGAACTGTCTCTGGACGACGGCAGTGGAGCAAGTGAGAGCGAATGAAGTGTGGTACAGGGCCGCCGGAATGCGGAAAGGGCCGGGGCAGGCAGGGGGCGGTCGGCGGGGGCGCACGCAGCGGCACACAACATGCACATGCACATGCACATGCACATGCACATGCGCACTGTTCATGTCTCACATGAGCAGTCGGAGCGCCGTGAGGCCGAGGCCGGTGAGGGCCGCCATTGTGCCGACCGAGTAGCGCAGCAGGTCTCCCTTCTCCTGCTCGAGAGGAGGGGACAGGTTGGTGGGGGAGCCTTGCACTTTGAATGCCGCGCCAGCTCCTGCCTACCTGGGTGTGGAGATGCAAGGGCTAGCCTGGCCTTGCCCTTGTGTGTGTGTGCGTGTGTGTGGAGAAACCTACCTCCCTGCCCTACCTCTCCTAGGGTGAGGGAGGGAGAGAGAGCGAGTTAGCATCCCAAGCCCCTTGGGCCCATACCTTGGATACCTTCGCCCCGCTCAGCCGCCAGGCGTCGGCGAGGGGTGTCGCGTCTTCTCAACGAGACGCTCACTCCTCCTCCTCTCTCCCTACTCCACTACTACTCTCACTCCTCCTCCTCTCTCACTCCTCCACTACTACTCTCCCTACTCCACTACTACTCTCACTCCTCCTCCTCTCTCACTCCTCCACTACTACTCTCCCTCCTCCTCCTCTCCTGCTCGATCTTGGAGCGGATCGCGCTGGCCTCGCGGTCGATCCTGAAGGAGCACGGGGGCCGTCCCTCAGCCGCGCGGGCCTTGGGACGGAGCCGCTGCGCGCTCGCCCTCGGATTGCTCCTGGCAAACGCCTCCGTCGTGCGCTCGTGCGTCTTTGCGTGCTCCTCTCGCATACGCCCCTTCACGGCAAGGGCGTGGAACGAGTGGGGCAGCCTCGGGCGCGTCTCGGGCGCGTCTCGGGCGCGTCTCGGGCGCGTCTCGGGAGTGACGCAAGGGGTGCCTCGGGAGTGTCTCGGAGGCGTCTCTCGGAAGTGCCTCGGAAGTGTCTCGGAAACGTCCCTCACCTGGAACAAGTTGAGGTCGAGCCGGCTCGCAGCCTGCGTCCGCTCGATCTCGTACCGCGTGTCGGTCCGCTCCTGTTCACAGCCGCAGCTGTGAAGAGACGCCGTTCACACCAGGTGCCGCGTACCGCGCGTGTCGGTCCGCTCCTTGTCTCGCTCGTGCCTGAGAGGAACAGCGGCGGCGTCACGGAACCCCGACAACCCTTCGTTGCTACGTCCGTCCCGCCGCGCCGCAGTCTGCGCCGCCCAGGCGAATCTCGGGGAATCTCGGGCCATCTCGGGGAATCTCGGGCCATCCCGTCCAATCTCGGCCAATCTCGTCTCATCTCGATCTCGCGCCGCAGCTCCAGCCGCAACTTCTCGAGGTCATTGCGCAGTCGCTCCTATATGGCTCATGGCGCCGCGGCTCGCGCAACGAAGCCACCCGGCGCAGCCCGCTTCGCTGCCGGAGGTCTCCATCTCCCTCTGAAGCGACGCGTGCTGGCTCTCGAGCGTCACCTGCAGGAAGGCAGTCCCGGGAGCGCTCAGACGAGGTTCGGGCACAGAGAGAAGGAGGTGCGGCCCTCGAGAGGTCCTCGAGCTTTGTGCGCGCGCTCTCGTGCCGCGTCTCCTGCTGCGACGTGATGAAGGTCAGCTCGGACCGTCCCACGTACTTTGCCTACGCGTTCCGAGAGGAGGAGAAAGAAGGCTCACGGACTGCGGCTGACTTGCTGAGACAGACGACAAGATTGCCTTGCCTTGGACCGAGACTCCTGCTCCGCCAGCGACCGCAGCAACAGCCGCGCCAGCACCTCGGCGGTCGGCGGAGGCAGGCCGCCCGCGCGTAGCTCGTGCACCATGCTGAGAGAGTCCAGCGGCGCCGCAGCCTTCCTCTTTGCGCCTTCCGCTTTCGTGCAGAGGCCGGCGGGGCGCAGCGCTTGCGGTAGCCTGCGCTGGTGCACAGCTCGGCGCGCGCATACGGAGGAGGCGGCTGCTCGCCACTTCGGCATCAGTGTTTTGAGCGGGCAGCTTCGGGCACCGATCGGTCCAATGCCAGTCTCCGCGCAGTCGGGCGACGGTCGGCTAGCTCGCGAGTAGAGGCCCCGCCCACCCAGGGTACCCCTCAAAAGACGACGAACTCGAACGTCGCGTTGACCCGCCCGCCGCCGTCGAGCCAAATCAGCACCGCCGCCTCCTCGCCTCGCCAAGCCGCTGCCACAACCTCCTCTGGCACCACCCCGCTGCTCGGCTCGGCCTCCGTGCCTCCCTCGCCGCTCGAAGCAGAGGCCGCGGCACTCGCACCCACCGCCGCGTCTCCGCCGCCTGCCTCGGCCGACGGTGCCTTGCTCCGGCTCGCAGCCACCTCCCCGAGATGCGTCCTGCGTCCTGAAGGCCTCGACGCACTCGGCGTGGCCCTTCTCCTTGGCCCAGTGCAGCGCCGTCTTGCCGAACACGCAGTTGATTGATGGGAAGGCGAAACACAGTCCGACCAACGACTGGGACACCAACGCGGTATGGGTGGACGTGTTGTGCGACGGAGTTTTGTTGTAAAATTCTTTTTTCGCATAACAGGAGCATTTGAGCCCGAAGGACATCCCGCATACCCGACTGACGTACCTGACGGATACCTGGACGGCATGGGCAGGACGGGTGCTAGGACGGGGCTGTGCTCACTGCTCAAGCCTCCAGGGATAAAAAAAAGGGTGGCTGGGCTCGTGGCCCAAGATGTACACAATCGTTGTCAGTACTGTTATGTATATGCACTCTGCCCCCTATGCACCAGCTTCGCATCGTGATATGCATCCTTACCGATCCATAACCCTAGGGCGTATACATTTACGTATTTGCAAAATACGTCGCCCTCTCCCACCCTCGCGCGTCGCGGCGCGTGAATGCACAACACAGATACATAATACATAGGCGAATGGATGCGCATTACGACCGAGTGTCACATAACTCCTATGAATTATGTATTATGCATTTGCATTACGCACTGGGAGTCCACATCGTGTGTTATGTATTATGTATTATTATGTATTATGTATTATGTATTATGTATTATGCACTGCCACTGGAAGTCCACATCGTCTGTTATGTATTATGTATTACGTATTACGTATTACGTATTACGCACTGGGAGTCCACATCGTATGTTATGTATTATGCATTATGTATTATGCATTATGTATGATGTAGACCGGCGAGATGGGGCGCAGCCCCAGCGAGCTCGTTTTTAGAGCGAGCGCAGCGAGCCGATAGAATAGAAAAGGTAGGGTTAGTGTTAACCCGGTCGGTGATAAGCCCGGAAATATATGTGACAAGAAGATCCCCAGCGAGCTCCGCTGTTGCCAGTGCACATACAACCCTAGCCAACTTATGGCAGCCCTAGCGGCAGCGCGAAGTTAGGGTCTGGGCCGGGGGGGGGGGGGGGTTGTTAGGGCTGCATGCTGCGGAGCGGACTCCCCCCCAGCTCTCACACACAACCCGGCGGAGGGTTGCGGCGCTTGAATACATAATACGGATACGTAATACGTAGTACATAGCCCTCTCCGGCGGGCTTTCGGCGCTTGACACATAATACGGATACGTAATGCGTAGTACATAGCCCTCTCCGGCGGGCTTTCGGCGCTTGATGCATAATACGGATACGTAATACGTAGTACATAGCCCTCTCCGGCGGGCTTTCGGCGCTTGATACATAATACGGATACGTAATGCGTAGTACATAGCTCTCTCCGGCGGGCTTTCGGCGCTTGATACATAATGCGGATACGTAATGCGTAGTACATAGCCCTCTCCGGCGGGCTTTCGGTGCTTGATACATAATGCGGATACGTAATGCGTAGTCCATAGCCCTCCCACGTGCAGGCGCCGCTGAGTGATGCATAATACGGATACGTAAGGTAAGGTAAGGTAAGGTAAACTTCTCCACACACACGAGGTGGTGGGGCAAGGGGGGGCAACCCTCGCGTCTCCACGTCTGACGACAGGAGCCCCACGGCATTCAAAGTGCAAGGCCCAGTGCGCGTGGGTGAGCGGTGTGTGTGTGTGTGTGTGTGTGTGTGTGTGTGTGTGTGTGTGTGTGTGTGTGTGTGTGTGTGTGTGTGTCTCACGTCACTGCATCCTCCGCCGGTTCCTCCCGTCGCCTCTTCTTTGTTCGAATGTTTTTCAATCCATCCTTCACGAAGCCCTCCCATGTAGCTAGCGTTCTTGGCGAATGTCTCGAAATGGCCAGCAGGCGCTGTCTGCTCGCGGTCTGTGCGGGCCGCTCGTCCTCCTCGCCCTTCTTTCGTCCTCCCGTCCCACCCCTCCACCATGGCCTTCTCGGCACTTCTTTCTCCATCCGCCTCGCCCTGCCTTTTCGCATCGTGCCGTTCGCCCTCCATTCGGTGACCTCCATGGCTGTCCGCCCCTTTTTGGGTGGCGCTCTCGATACGGTTGCGTCAACCTCGACGTCGCTGTCGCCCTCCCCGTCCCCGCCGGCGTCCGTGCCTCGGTTCGCGTCATCGGTAGCGTCTCCGTTGTTCCCTCGTGCCCCGCCGTCGCCCTCTCTGCTCGGGCCGTTAGCGATTTCGCTCCTCCTGCGTGTCGCCCCTCCGTCCCCTCCCCTTTCTTCGTCGTCATCGTCGCTGTCGCGAAAGCCCTCCGGTCCCTCGATTCCCTCGCCTATCCCCTCCGCTGCGTCGTCCCAGTTTATATCCTCATCCTCTGCGCACGTCGCGTTGGCTTCCTCTTTCCCCCTTTCCTCCCTGCCCCTCTCGCTGTCTGGTGTTAATGGACCCCCTTCCTCTCCCTCGCCACCGTCACCGTCTCCATCCCCGTCGCTACTGCCCTCCATGCCCGCCGCCCTTTGTTTCACACTCGTCTCTGCCATGTCCGCCGTCGCCGCCGTCCTGTCTGCTGCGCTCTGTGCTCCGTGGTACAGTCGCTTATTGTTGCTCAGGATTAGCTCACGCACCAGGACAGCCTCCTGCTCGTTATTTTGGCTTGCCGATATGCATCCAAAGTTCCACGCTAGCTCCTCCTTCGTCACGTCTATCTTTTTGCAGTATCTCGCGAATGCCGTCCGCGCTTGCTGGGGTGTTATTGCGTTCGGATCCGCCCTGGTCCCCGCCCTGTATCCCATCTCCTTGCGGTGGCTCCTGTATGAGTCCCCATATGACCATGTGATTTCTTGGCCTTCGGATACGTAATGTGCATAGCTCATAGCGCCAATGCGACATCGGCAGCGCTGCACTGTTTGCTGAGACATAAAGGCGAAAACATCGTACGTATTGCATAAGACACGCTATGGACTATGCATTCGCGCGACGTCTGACCCTGCCAATGCATAGGCAGGACACACGGGTGCATATAGGGCCGGTACGTATGCATAGCAGTACTGACAACGTCTCGATGTACAAAGAGGGACAGGCACCAATGCGGCCGCCCAAGCTCACAGATAGCCCCCTTGGGTGGCGGCGGCGGGCACGCGCCATATTGCCGCAGGCATCAATGCGGCCGCCCAAGCTCACAGGTGGCCCCCTTGGGTGGCGGCGGCGGGCACGTGCCATTGCCGCACGCCAGGCAGCCGCAGCGATCGACGGCCGCCCACGCTCGCGCGTCCATGTAGTGGATTGCCAGGCTGGTCGCATCGCACCACCGCTGCAGTCCACCGCGGCCGCTGATGTCGTGGAAGCGCTCGTCGTCGAAATGTCGGATGTCGAGCGCCGCTGTCCACAGTCCGGCGGTGGCGTCGGCGGGCCAGATACGACGAAATGGCAGGCGGCTGTGCGCCACCCATTCGGCCACATCACGAGAGTAGACCCACCCGAGGCCCGACGGGTAGGGCAGGAAGAGAAAGAGGCCCTCGGCGAAGCTCGGGCGGAGCGATTTGGGCAGCATGCAGAGCCACAACGACTCGTTGCGCTTCAGCCCGCCCGCACGCAGCCTCTGCACGTCGTCATTACGGCACCCGCGCACGAACCGACCCCAGATGAGGTGCGATGTCGGGATCGGCTCGGCGCGGATCGCGCGGAGCAGCGCGTGCACCCGCACGTACGTGTCGTCGTGGATGCGCATGATATAGCCCGCACGCGGGTGCGCCTCAATCGCCCAGCGGAGCAGTGCGAGCAGCTTGCTGGCCTCGGGGTCCGAACGGCTGCGCGCGGGCACCGCGCCCCCCGGGACAAAGCCGTCGGAGTCGCTACAGTTGGCCACCAGTATGTCGCCGTGACGCCGCATCTCGGCCCTCACGGAGCGGCGCAGGAGCGCGCTTGCGGCGGAAGAGCCGCCACCACCGCTGCCGCCGCCGCCGCCGCCGCCGTGGCCGCCGCCGCCGCCACCACCACCATTGCCACCCATGCCCAGCGCATCTGCACCGAGGACGAACGCGAGCGCAACGCGCTTTGCTAGGTGGTACGACGGGTAGGCGAATGTGAGTGTGTGCAGACCGTGGCGGATCGCGTCGCGGCGCTCCACGTGCGCTGCGCGTCCAAGCACGCCGATGACGAGCTCCACGCGAGATGTCGCGGCGGTGGTGTGGGAGGCAGTGGGCGCAGTGGGCAGGGGCTTGGTGCCGTCGTCGTCGTTAGCGGGTGCAATGCGGCGTGTCGCGGGCCCCGCAGCCCGCAGCGGTGACATGGCCGCGCGACGCATCGGCCACTCCGCCCAAACCCTGCCGCGCAGCGAGCGGTTCGACGCCGCCTCGGCGGCACGGCACGCGACGCGCGGCAACTCGCATGGCGCCATTGCTGCATAGCGGGCATGCTCGACGGCGTGCGGCGCGCCGGCGTCGACTGCGCGACCGCCGGTGTTCCCAGGGAAGCTCCAGGCCGAGCCGTGCAGCAACTTGGCGCCCGAAGTGAGCGAGGCGGCGGACCCATCGTAAAGCGAACCGCACGGCAGCACCAGCTGCGCGCGCTTCGGCAGAAACCGCAGCGCCGACAACTGAATATTCCACGTGCACGGCAGCTTTGCCACCATGGCTGGATGGCGCGCGAACGCCGCATTGAACCAGTCCTGGTCGCCAAACTCGAGGCGCGCGGATGGGCCAGCTGCGCCGAGCGCGCGCCACACCGCGTGGCTACTCACGTTGAGCCAATGCTGGCTGCGCGCGCGGGCGAGGTCCATCAGGACGAGGCCGCCATTGTACGGTGCCGCGGCGTACGGCCTCAACCAATACTGCGGCTTCCACTTGCGCAGACGGATTGCGTCGAGCGCCATGCCGAAGGCGATTGCTGACGAGGCGGCGCGCGCAGTCTCAAAGACGGCCCATAGTTCCGCCACGTCGGCTCGCCACAGAACGTCGGCGTCGACGGCGACAAGCGAGATCACGTCCGCTGGCAGCACGTGCGGCAGCGCCACCTTGACAAGGGTTGAAAAGTCGAGAGCGCTGCGCTGAAGTAGGGCTGAAGCTGAGGCCGGCATCAGCTGCGCCACCGTCTGGAAGACCATTGCGCGCGTGTGAAGCTTGCAGCGCAGCCACGCGCCACCGCATGCGCTCGCGAGAAACTCTGCAAGAGTGGTATCGCTGGCCTCATCCGCCATCACGTGGATTTGAAGAGGCGACGGCCAGCTGTAGTGGTGGAGCAGCGACTTTATCATGACGATTGCCTGCGCGGCGGAGGCGTTGCCGCAGCCAGCGGTCCAAACGTGGAGCGGCGTTCCTCTCGCGTGAT